TGAACTGGCAGTTAAAAGTTTATTCCATTGTCGGAAATTTGCTGTCGGACTGCTGATTGCAGTTATTATTTAATTGTGTACGTCAGTAATTTCTTTCAAACAAAATTAATACAATTATATCTTGGATATATAAATAATAAAAACATATGCACAGAAGAAATATTATATATACAAATTTCAACGAAGTTAAAAGAGAAATATTATGGCATCCTATTTTTCCATTCGAAATTAATTTACTTTATTTACGAGAGAGATAACAAAAGAGATGTGTATATAAATAAATAAGTAAATATATGTAAATGTCTAAAAGAAAAATATTGCAGTTATATTTTTTTATCAAATTTTTCATGTGATAATTCTAAAACTTTTGAAATCTTTTATTTTTCTAATTGATCTATTTACGAGAAACCGCCAAAATTCTTACTCTACTGTAGATATCATACATGCAGAGGAAATGTAAATGTTACAAACCAACGCGGCGTGCAACGAGAGCTGATTTCTCCGATGTCAGCTGTCACGCGTAGTTCGCCGGCAAATGTCAGTCTCTGAGATAAACAAAAGGGGAATAACGCGGTTGCGTCGGACAGTTGCATGCGTCACGTGCATCGATAATACTCCTTGCACAGAAACACTGCCGTGAATAAGGCTATTCCGAATTCGTGTACGAAACATATGCAATTTCGATAAACACACATCTACTTTGAAAACTATACCATAAGCATATAAATTGCATATAGAAGACTCGAAACATTTCTGCTCGAAAAATATATATTTTAATGAAAGACCATAAAAACAGAAACATTTGTGTTTATAAATTTTTATATATGCATAAAAAATTAATATATGTATAAACATTGTTTAAATCACGTTTCTAGCAATCGTAAGACAAATTCACGAATTCTCACACTCTTTTTTGGCCTTTCAAAGAGTGATTATAAAGATTGCATCGAAAACTAAGCGTATAACTTGCATATAAAAGACACGAAACATTTCTTCTCGAAAAATATATATTTTAATAAAAGACAATTAAAAAAGAAACATTTGATACGTGTTTATAAATTTGTATATGTGCATAAAAAAATGAATATATGTATAAAAATGGTTGAAATCACCTTTCTAGCAATCGTAAGACAAAGTCACGAATTCTCCCATTTTTTCTCTCGTCAAAGAGTGATTATAAGGATTGCATCGACTGACATCGAAATCGCTTAATTATGATTCGAGGGATATTCTTATACCTACATATATAGAGTATTAGTAGTATTAGGACTCGGCGTAAGCTGGACTATCTAGATCCCGTCGCGAATTCCTCGCGGCTACGCCGGTGGCGATTAACCATCGGGCTAATGCCAGATGCCCGCATATAACGCCGGACGCGAGGATAATACCGGACGCAGCCGAGCGGGCCTGATCGGACGGGCAGCCGTAAATAAACGGATAACGATAGCTCTCGTATCTCGGCAGCGAGGGCGAGCAGACGTTCTCCCGATTCGCGCGCGTTATGCATCCGAACGTTGCAAAGCACAACAGATCGGACGGCCACAGTAATTTCGCGGTGGAAGAGAAGCGGCCAAAGTGGGGTGGATATTGAACCACCGGGAATAACGCGACCCCGAAGATGGGTTAGATTTTCGTTATTCTCGTATATTGTCGCGTGTTGGGAATTCGTATCTAAAGTGTATATCGATATATCGTGATATATATTAGAGAACAGATTTTTTTCCACTGAAAATACAAAGGAGCAAAAAACAATTTTAATATAAATAAATAAAGCGAGATTTGCATTATTTTTTTAAAATTATTAAAGTAATTTAATTTACCCTCGAACGTTGATTTGAAAATCAATCTTCACTGGTTCTGATTGCAATTATAACGCATCTACGTTCGCGAGATAGAACAAAGTGACTCTTTTATAATGCGAAAATAATTGCGACACCGTGTAAGATGCAAAAGTCTCGCCATGGGAGCTTTAGCACACTATGCAAAGGCTTAATATGCGCGCAAGGGCTTTACCATTCGACCCTTTTACTTTCGAGGCCGCTCGCTTAAACAAGCTAGCACTAGCTGCTTTCTGCGTGTGCATGTTTGCGTGCGCAATCTCGCCCCCGCTGGTGCATCCATGCATCGCGCCAGCTATCGAAATCGAATTAACATCCCTTTACGTTCGCTCAAGGACACTTCAGGCCGGCAATCCAAATTGTTACGCCGCGACTCAAAGCGTCGCACGGGCCCTTGAGCAGGGCCCGCCGACAGTGTTCTCTGCGCGATCACTGGAGCAGAAACGACGTTTCGCGCTAATACACGCTAATTTTCGCAAAATGTAATTGCCGATATTGCTCATCGTATTCTCGGATGGCTGCTTAACACGATTTCGATTAAAATTGCACGATTAATATCAAGGAGAAACCACGAGCAAGATCAATGTTTCGCAGAATCTCGTTATGTCTGCGAATGAAAAGCTCCCACAACATATCCGAAAGATATTCAGAGAATATCCAGAGGACGTTCGAACATCCTCAGGATGTTCTCTGAACGTCTTTGGAATATGTGTGCTGTTAGGGGTATAATAATTGAAAGTATCGATTCATTATTTCGAAATTTTTCGACGCTTAAAAATAAAATATAAAGAGTGGAATTTGATTTTCCCGTTTGATTTTACATGTGTCAAATGAGAAATAATTTTCAATTTTAAAATTAGACATTGGGTCATATGGATTACTTCTCAAAGATTGATTGCTCCGCAAAATGAAATTTGCCCTTTTCTCGATTTCCGGAACTCATTATTGGTTTTATTAACGATGTAGACTGGCGTTTTCATTTAAAAAGTATTAACTGCGTATGATTATTCTGGCTATTTACTTTTGCACCGCCTGATCAAAACAAGCGATTAAAATGTGCAAAACTCAAGCTTAATTTGTGTTGCTCCAATTAATATCGTGACAGTGAATGCCTTGTCTATACATATAAATAACTATCTCTTTTGCTCACAATTAATTGTTGATCGCCAGTGATAAAATTTTCACAAATAATATGATGCAATTTAATTCGACCAAAACTGGCTATTCATTTATTGAAAATAAGTACACACTACGTTTCGACCCACATTGTGGTCCTTTTCAAGTGCTAGAATACAAAAATACCTAATTTTGCTTGCCAAATTAGGTATTTTTGTATTCTAGCACTTGAAAAGGACCACAATGTGGGTCGAAACGTAGTGTGTACTTATTTTCAATAAATGAATAGCCAGTTTTTGGTCGAATTAAATTGCATCTTATCTCTTTTGTATTATATAGAAATAGAACTTATACTCACTTCAAAGTATTATAAAGTTTTGGGAGCTAAAGAGAAGATATCGCTAGAATAATTACAACTGGTTTCAGATATTATCACACTTCGCTATATCAATTGTTTAAAATTTGTTGAGAGAACGTTAATTTCTCAAAAATAAAAAATATCGATCAAAAATATATTGAAAAAGAATTATTAGTGAAATTAGTGCGAGATAATTTGTTTCACTTCCAGTTATTTCGCATCTACATTTTTACATTTGGGTTTCCCTAAGTTTCAAACATATAAATAATCAAATAATTATTTATAGCTTATTATACCATATTATTACACCAACATTCGTTACACCATGTTGTCTGTATAGTATCGCTTTATCAAAGTTTAATAACGTTTACAACCTAGCCCCCCGCCGTTCAACGTTATCTGATAGCGCTGCTTACTTTTTAATGGATAATGAACCTGTTATCGTATCCGAACCGCCAGCTTTATTGGCTAATTACATGGACTTTATTTTTCGTTCGATTATTAGCGTGATTTCGATATCCCAAATTGCGCTGTTTTACCAAAGGGAGTTAATTTAGCTAATTTTGGAACGCGTATTTCTTTACAGCCATTTTATAATACACGATAAATCAATATGTGCAGAATGTATACTAAAGCTAAAAAAGCAAAAATCAATTTGTTTTATTGCAATCGACGGTTAAATAATAAACAATAAATTTCCAAACTGATCATTTCCTGCTTAAAAGAGTCTTTCAAATAATATTTATTAAATTTTAATATTCTCAAATATATATATATATGCGTCCATTGTTACATACGCACATGTTCATAGCAAACAAGTCCTCTTAAATAAGAAATATATAAATATCATAGAATTTATGTGAAAATTGTATCATTTAAATACAATGTGTAATATTATTTATCGCATCATCCGATTCCTTCTGAGTTTGGAATATTTAACTTTATCGGTAAAAAAAAAAAAAAAAAAAAGGGAAAAGGAAAGAGGTAGATACCACGCCGCTGCTCTAAGAGCGCCATTTTCCTTTAAGGACGACCGAAAGACTTACGAGGATCGTTTCTTGTCTAAGGACGATCGCATGGGGCACCCGTTATTCGAACGCGTTCGAATGAAATTCCGATCGCCTGCCTGCAGCCTTTGTCCTGGGGGTGATCTCGCCCCGTGCGCCGGCTTTTCGGAATTTATCGGAATAATCGGATTCATTCCTCCTCCGCGTGGTGATCGGCAAAAGAGTCGTTACGATGGTCGATATCTCGGGGCGAAAAAAACCACGTGCTTACGCCAAATATTTGTGTCGCGTCCCAAAAAGCGCTTACTCGTACATAATTCCCGATCACAAAGTGTTTGAAACTCGTAAGTTTTCCTTCTAATGATGAACACCAGAGAGATTAAAATTTTTAATTTACGAGAGCACGGGGAAATTAAGCGAGACCAAAATCGATATACTAATAAAATACAGGAATAAAGGGGAATCTTTATGAATTTATTCTGCTGCGAATAACGCGCCTAATTGATTTATTTTCATCGCTCCCGAAATAAACTCGATTTTTCGTAATAATTTTGAATTATAAATAACTGTGTGAGATAATGCTGCTCACTGAGCTTGTTTCGTATCGTGACGCAGCTATACGTTTCGAAAATATGCGAGTCATCGCCATTATCGATTATCATCTGACTGCATGGTACTTACAGTGCACTTGCAGCTTCCATCGGTCCTCGATACCGGCTTCCGGTAGCTTCGGATTCTCGGCACGACACACCAGGAACTTTCCCTCGTCCTCCACCGTCGGCGTGAATTGCAACAGACTCACACCATCCTGGAATTGCGAATAGCAATCATTCGTCTCGGCTGTTCAATCGGGATAGTGATTTGCAGAGATCCGCACGAAACTCGCTTCTATATAGCCAAAATTCTCCTCGATATATTCTTTTCGTTGATAATATATTATTTAGATCGAATATAATCCACATAGATACAATAATGTCTGAATTAAATATACATATCAACTGCGATCTCATTTTATCATTCATTTTACGGATATTTTAAAAATTGTCGTCGTTTTCCCCGGTATTATCCCATTACGAAAATTATAATCAGGATAAATCGCAACGCGCAAGAAACGGAAGATAAACGATTTCATAACATTTCTGTGTCATTTTTCAATTTTTTTTCCCTCCCGCCCCCACGATGGAAAATTGCGGTCGCGCTACATTTTTGTTTTATCGTCTCGCATAACTAGCAGCTCGCGCTGTTTACGAGACTTTAAACGCGACGCCGAACAGCCCGGCAAAAGCGTACGTTTTATCGCAACAGCGAGACCCGTACATTTTTCAAGCGCGAACAATGAACGCGTGAAATGGTAAAATAAATATGTGCGTTTTCGTTACCAGAAATGTGCGACCGTATTTCCTCTCGCGAAAGCCCAGACCGTCGAAAAATTACGGGAGATAACGCCGCTTTATTATTAGCATTTTTGGACCTCTTTCACTTACAGAACTTATATTCGGGTCGTCGCGTACGTTATATATCCGCAATGTCTTTTTTTTTTTTTTTTTTTTTTTACCGTTCTCGGATTCACTCTTGGATTTTATGACGATGATCCTTTTATCGTTTTATATATGGGTACGCGATATCTCCTTTAGGAATTCGGCCTTTGAGGATTCTCGAAATTGATGTGTCGAATCCTCTCGGCAATTAGGATCCTGTCCGAAAAAAACGGGAAATATTCGCAATTTGCGTCAGCGGAAACGATTTTTCGTTGCGACAAATTGATGTAATGCAAATTACGGAAATGTACCGAATTTCGGGCGACTAAACGCAACCGTTTCGGAGATTCATCCCGTCCCGTTTAATTTCCATGACAATTGTCGTCGCCACGAGGGAGCTTTCGTAATTCTTTCTTATTTCGCGCAAATTCTGCTCTCGCTCTTTCAGCCGAGAAGGATCGCGCGAATATACGATTTTTTCCCGAAGAGAAAAATCGACCACGTCATCGTATTAATGACATTCCATCGGTTTCGCTCCTTCGATGAAATTTTCACTCTCATCGTAGAGGAAAAAAAGGAAACGCGCCCCCTTCTTTCAACCAATATTATTTCTCACTTTACACGTAAATGCAATATTAAATCGGGTTTTTTTTTTATATAACGAACTGTGCATTATATTTCGATGGTATTATAAATCTCGATATTACTGACTTTTTTATATCGAGAGATATTATTAAAACCTTCGTTTTACAATTTCTATTATTGATATTAATTTGTTACGCACACACATACACATACAAAAGCGATTTCATAATTAATCTTATACAACAATTAATCTTATGTAATTATACATTAGGATGCATTTAAATTGGTTCATAATCACACATACTATGCGTTAATTTAAATGCATGTTTAATGTAATACACACAGAGTCAATGCAAAATTAACAAGAACGAATACAAATTACAACGTCATACGTTAATATTTAATTACAAATTTTTAATGTGTTTTCGTGAATAATAATTACAATAAAAAATTTCATATTATTTTCAGATCATTATTAAATCTGCAATATTAATTAAGCTTTTGTGTAGTAGCTTTTATGTCAGTGGGTCGCTGCGAGCTTTTATTTAGCACAAAATTCGGTATACCGAGCGAAATGGCTAATTTTCGCATTATCGCGGCAGAAAGAATGACAAAAACGTGGCAGGGAATCGCGAGGAATCTCGGCTCTTTAAAACTATACGCGTCTCAATTTCGAATACCGTATCGACGTACGTGTTACGGCAACGCGACGGTTGTGGATCGAACGAAAAACGAGATACACGTCGTATCGCAAAGAAGCCTCGAAAACGAGCTTTCCCGCGGAATTTATGGCAACGGTGTTGAAATTTCGACGCCGTTAGTCATACAGATTTTCACGGACGGAAAATATATGTCGATATGCGCCATGTGTACCGCTTTGTGTGCGTATGTACATGTGTGTGAACGAACTTCCTTTTCCCTTTCTTTTCGATCAAATTGCATCATAGAATTTCGCACAACACCCTTTCGTTATTATTTTCCGTCTTCTTCATTTTTCTATTATTTGTTCGCTCTACGAGTCTGTCTGTTTCGTGCGCGAACCGATCAGAAACCGATCAGAAACAAAATTGAACGGACGCAATGCGAGTTAATTAAAGAGCGAGACTCACTCACGACAGCTCTCGGCGAAATTAAAATCAAATTCCTGGCGGGCGACTCCCAGTCTCTCGGGTCAGCTGTCTGCCGGCTACGTTTCCGGAATTTGAAAAACTTCGGGCCGAGTTTATCGGCGAAAATTCCGACGATGTCTTAACCGGCAGTACAAAATTTTCCAAATTCCAATTCGTCGACGACTAGATTACTTTGTCGTGCAGCATCTCATATAAAATCGTATGTTTAATTATACAAAATTTGTAAGTCATTCGATAAGTAAATATAATAAATTAGTCACGAGAGAAAAAAAAAATTAAAAATGATAAAAATATTATAATTTTTAAACAGATATACCAACAGAATTAGAAATATTTTGGATAAGAGTAATTATTTTCAATTTTTAATTAAAAATCAACTTCAAAATAGTTTACGCTTTTCATCACGAAAAATAATGTAATTCTTCGATAATAATTATTTTCCACGTGTTTCGCCGTGTAACTAATAATCCTTTTCTATTGAGTTGGAAGTTGATCGCGAACGTAAAATTTGCGCAACAAATAAACATATATGAATTTATGGAGAGTCTGTTTATCCTATTAAAACCGATATTTCTTTTGTGTTCTCGAGATAATAAATGGAATGTTGACAGGATCAAGTCCGTTTACGAAACGTAATTGTACAGTAAGATGCAATTTGCGTAGCGTGTTCCGGCCTTTTGTATACTATGCCGCTGTTGCGTTCTCCTCGTGAAAGGGTCTGGGATTAACTTCTTCTTACCTTCCTGATGGAGACACAGACGAAAAGCGTTCTGTGAACACACCCACATACGCATACACACGTAGAAAGAGGGAGGAGAGGAAGAAAGCCCCTTCCATCTTTCCGCGTGCATACACACAGCGCGAGTGTGTACACAGGGACGTTTGTGTGTACACACAAAACCACAACTCGGATCCGCCCGTCCGGAAACTCGCTTGTGTCTTCAGTTACCCGGTATATTCGCTCGCGAGCAAGAAAGGTTTCACAAGGCTCTACGTCGCACATGTTAAATACATTTGTGCGGTATCACGCGGTTAACAACGTTCCTCTGTCACAGAGTCATCCGTTAATTAGACGGCTTTAAAAAAGGGAGAGAGAGAGCAGGATTTTTTCTCCTTTTTCTATTGTGTATCAAAAATTCTTTATAATAAATTATAGAGTAGTTGTGAAAATTTATTCCTATATCTCAAGTGGAATATTATAAGAATACAAAATTTAAATATGTATGTATGTAATCGCATCTCTTTTTTTTTTTTTTGTCAGAAATAGACGCACGAAAGTGCGATTATATTTCCCATTTTAATATAAAGAGATGGACGTTTTTTTTTTCCTCATAAGATGAACGTTCGTCGTTTGTTTTATTCGCAAGAGAGCTTTCAAGAAACGAAATAAATCCGCGTCGTTTCTTTCAAGAGTTGCGCTCTTTCTTCTTCTTCTTCTTCACCTGTCGCGTTAAAAGCGGACGAGCTCGATGTAAGAAAGCACGTGTGCATCAGCGAATCTCTCGCTCTCTCTCTCTCTCTCTCTCTCTCTTCCTATCTCTCTTTCTGACCGACGAGATAGTAGTAATATCCCGCTTGGATCGGACTACGAGACAGATAGGTAGATACGAAGGTATCGAAAGCCTTTTATGTTATTGGCGTCACAATAAGCGGTCGCATACGTGCCGTATTCTAAATGCAGCGGTTGCAGCTGAGCATCATCTCGTAGTGGACTCGATAAAATTGTGTCGTCAATCGAAATCACTCTTCTCCTCGGGCGAGAGTAGAATTTTTAAAACTATTCTGCTCTGTTAAACGCTCTGATTTGATTTATTTACTGTTATTTACTGTTTGGCAATTAATAATTTGATCAAACAAATATTTCTCTCGCACAACTTTAAGAACAAATATATTCTCATTATTATAGCCAATTATTTAAATTTTTTAGGGGGGATTTATTGTTAGAATAGCTTTCTTATTGGAAATGTGAATTTTTCATAATTTTCAGTCGTATTCTTGAGATTTCGACATCTCGATATAATTTAAATGTGAATAGAGATGCGGAATCTTTTTCTTCATATATCTGCTTTCTATTATTGTTTCGTTCTTTTCACGTGATTTTCAAGAGCATTCTCGAACCCGTTTGAATTTGAATAGTTAAAATTGGGCTCCTTTCATATAAACGCCATTTGATTTGAAACTATTATCATTTAACATAACTCGTTCCCGCAATATTATTCCAATATTCGCAATTACACTCGTTTGTCCGAATGAAACTTTTAACAAAATGCCCGCATAATGAATTCTACTATGCAATCGTAAACCGTTTTCATTTCATGCGCATTCTCGTTAAATGAGCTTCGCGTGGAATAAGCTTTTAATTTGAAAAGTGCAGCGACGGATATTTCGTCTTTTGTTCGCGAGTGATTTTTGATATAGGAATCCAAAAGCGCCCCGAGTTTCCACGGCCAGCAAAAGAGAGACGAGCTTTTCAGTTTCTCTGCGTGCAATTTCGTGTGCGTATGTGTGTGTTTGTTGTGTGTGTATAACGCGTTTATTATTTCGTTCCTACAATATTTCGTGCGCCATTATATCACTTTTATTATATTTGTCTCGGCAATTTTTCAGATTTGCTC